GTCTTATGTGCATTACAAATCCGGAAGATGAATTATGATAATTACAGGAATATTAACTGTATATAATTTTGCAATGAGACGTGACAATTATGTAATTATCTATACTGTTAGTAATAGTAACGTTAATTCTGGAGCACGAATCTCTTCGAAAAAAAATTGAATATTACATTGGGGACATTTTTGTATTAATAATATATTAATATTATAAAATATTAATTATGAATAATAGTTACTATGAATAGTTACTAATTAGTATTATTTGACTTAATTAAAAATAGCATTATTACACTGCCCTCAGTAATGTTAATAAAGTCAATATAATGTTAATAATGTCAATAAGTTATATACATATAGATACATTTAGTTATAACAGATTAATAATTTGAAATTGCGCATATTACTCTACCACTTCCATAAATTTTTTAAAATAAAGACATTTCAGTTAATATAATTGATAAGCCGAAATTAAATCGATTCTATGGATTATGAATTATGAAATCGTAGCATTTGCAGTATTGCTTATCAATTTGAGGCGTATCTTACGTATACTTATTAAATCAATATTCCGTTGACATTTGGTACGTCATAGTGCTATCGCATTTATGTGCATGATATAAAAATGGATAGTATTTAATAAATAATCGATGATTCAAGACTTATTCAGTTTTATTACGTTAATGTATACGTGATATGAAATAAACATCGATAAAAAATATAATGAGAGTATTCAATTGGTCACTTTGACGTATTATTTCCAAATATTAACAAGCTACATTTTTGAAAGAATCAATCTGAAATTATCAATCAATATGAATTAATAATATTTAAAATACATCAGACAACAAATAATATTTTTATATGTGAATAGTATTTAATAATAATATAAAAACATAAATAAGATTTTTTATAAAAATTGTCGCTTACATGTAGAGACATTATTAATTCCATCGAAAAATATTTGTAATTTACATTTACAAATACAATCAAGTATAATTTATTTTTATAATTTACAATTGCAAGAAATAGATAAAACTTGAAGAGTTTAATATTATTTTAACCAAAATATTAATAAATTTAGAAAACGACTAATAAATTTAGAAAACTTTAATTAATGGATTGGTTTTTTTCTACACAAAAGCCGTTTACATCTTTATTAGTTGTATCTCACGTTCCTTTTTCTTACAGACTATGTGTACGAAGAGTTTCAACTCTCGTACCAGGGTACACCTGGACCCGAGATGGTGAATGAGAATGACACGGATCTGGTCCTCGCGATGTATCTCTATTGACTTCTCTCTCTTTCTTCCCCCTCCCCCACCCTCTCTCTCTCTCTCTCTCTCTCTCTCTCTCTGCTTCTTTCAAATCTTGTACACGCACACATCCATTTCACTTCCTCAAATGTCCTCCCCCTTCTTTACAGTCGCTGTGTTCTTTTCCTTGCTTCGACCGTCGTTCGGCCTTCCCTTCTGTCCCTCTCATTGGCGCCTCGCCGAGCATATCACTCGACCGCAGACGTATAGCTCAGTTTACCTCAAAATCTTGATCCGGGTAACACGTTAAGGAATCGGCAGAACTCGTAACCGTATTTACTCGATTCTTGTTGATCTTTCTTACTCCGTTAACTTGGATAACGTGAGACAAGAAGTAGAAGAAATTAGAAATTCTTTTCTTTTATTGACAAAGGAGAAGTGGCAAAGGATGGAAGCACACGTTAGAAATGTGAATGACAGCCTCAACAATTCACCGACAGAAGGTAAAAAATAATTAAAGAATATTTCGTATTACTGTTTAACGATGATTCTAATTATAAGTTATAAGAGTTTAAGCTGAGGAGTTTTTTGATATCATGTATTAAATAAGTGTAAATTTGTATAAATACTGCTAATCATTACAAAATGTATATGTGTTTAGTTGCTAAATTAAATAAATGTTTAATAAATAAAAAGTTAATTAAATAAAAAGTTAGTTTAATACTTACAGTATCAAACTAATCCCAAATTCTACGGATTTATGCATGTATAGCAATCATTACTGTTGCAAAAAGTGAGGATGATAATAATATTTGAAATCTCGAAGAAAACAATTATTAAGGATCTAAATTTAAATTTTCACTCAAGCTTAGAGAAAACTTACTATCATATCGAAAAATTTAAGAAATAATAGCCGAGATAAAGGCGTAAGGATTTCTTCAATAATAAATTTATAATAATGTTTAATATTTCAATTGTGTGCGCGGATATATAAGTACTCAGTTATTGTACCGTTATAAAAACAATAAAGAAAACGAATGCTTATTTTGCTTTGAAAATATTGGCATTCTCGTTAACAGCTTAATTATTGCGAACTAACAACGAAGTGCATAATACACATGCTTAGATGTTATTTATCAAATGTCAATCACGGTCGGATAAAATTGTTTGTGTCTTATCAATTTTTCAATCAATCTTAATATCGATTCTTTGTTTCTCATTATTTAATCGATCTTTTCAAATTTAATTGTTAACAATAATTTCTAATATTCTATCCGATATGTGATGATATGATAATATTATTAGATCTTAAGAAGATTAATATGCAAAGCGAATAAAAATGCATGAATCAATGAAAGTAAACATTTGTAATAATTAACGTAAATAGATTCTCATTTTCATTGTTTTATAAATTCAATTTATTTAATAAACATTATCAAATTAAAGAACATGAAGAAAATATGTATTAGATGTGGATGCATTGTGTATTTGTCAAGAACGATCAAAGATATGGGATCGTGATATGACAACGAAAGCTAACGATGCAAAATGTGAAGACTGAAGGAAAGAAAAATTAACGTACGAACTTGAAAGTCACCCATACTAGACAAAGGAAGATAGCATTTAGCATTCGCAAGATAGTCATTCAGCATTCGCAAGATCTCTAATTAATCCTTACCGAGACCTTGAGAGACTAGTAACTTGCCATGCTTATAACAAATCAGATTGCCAATGAGTTGGATCATAAACGCATGCGAGCATTCCGATAAGTGAGCCCGTCGTTGAGTTGTACATTGTGAAATTGCATCACGTAAGTCTCATGCTGATGCTGCGATCTGAACTGAGAAAGCTGACAAGTAATGGCCGCGAAAGTGACTCAAATAAAAACTGGCGACTCGATGAGATAAATTTTGTAAAGATACAGCTGAACGAGAAATCCTACTTTAGAAAAACGTCGCCGTTATACGGAGAGACATAAGCCAACTTTGCGATACCTGTTCAACAATTTTGAAAATTGCTATTATTTCTTTATTTTTTAATAGTTATGAATTCTTCGCGTTAACATATATTTATATACTTTTGTCTCGAAAAAATTATTTATAATTTTCTAACATTTTTTGAGAAAAATTTACTTAAATTGATGTATTTTTAGCTTCTTAGATGTATATAGCTTTTTTAAATACTATATACAGTCGAATTTTTGCTGTAAAAGCAAAATATATTTAGGTCAAATGCATTGTCATCATAAACGACATCAAGCGAAATATAATGTCACGATAAAATCATTTGCAATCATGCACATTTTTTTAAATATCATAATTATAATTTAATTTATTAATTTAATTAATTTAATTTTTTAAATACTATAATTTTTTTTAATATAATTTTTATTCAAGTACATTTTCCTTAGTTTTTATGCGCGTTTAGTATATTTTTAAAAAAGATAAATGTATGTGCTTTTATATCTTTAAATGTGCTTTAAAATAGACTCAGCCTTCTATGTAGAATCTTGCCTTTCACTAATAATTTGTTTTTTAATGTACATTCAGCTATAAAGATAAATAAGTAATTAAGTATAAAAAAGCACAGAATAAGAGAGTTATGGAAATTAACGATGATTCTGACAGACATATTGTGTATTGTTCACGATTCAGTTCGATAAAGAAAATCCTTTTTTTATATTCGCTCTTTTTTTGTTACAAATCATAAAAATATCAAAATCATTTATCACGTAGACAAAATCTGGTTTGTGCGTATTGTACAATACTATGTGTGCACAAAATTCTTACAAACGTGCGCATTTATTATTGAACAATCAGTAAACTAACTAAATATTAATTGAGCAATACACAAAGGTGACAATAACAAATTCATCTGATCTCATATTGTATAATAAGAAAGTATAAGCGTTTAAAATTATTTCATATACTTTTGAATCGGACATTTTAATGTAACAAATCTTTCATAATTTACGTAAAGCTTAACGAGAAGAATAATAGAAATAAATCAAGTCGATTTTAATCTTAATTTTTTCTAATTACAGCTTTGACTATATTTTTCTGTATACTATTAAATTCGAGATTTATAGTATCATTTTACTTTAATAGTATTTTAAATGTATAATTTATTTGCACACTGAAAAAATGTTTGATTAATTGGAATTTTTATTGAAAATGAATAAATCAAAATTTTCTAGTTGAATTTACAAGAATTTTAATTGAGATAATTGGAATTCTGATTGATACAAGAGTCAGATCAGAATTTTTATCGATTTTCAACTAGACATTTTTCTCAATACAATAATAATAAATAATAACATGAAAAATTAAAGTAACACGTGAAATTTATCAGAATTAGAGCAACATGATTTCAACGACAAACACAAGCATGTAGCGGAAACGCCTCTCGTCTAAGGTTGCTCGTCTCTGATTAATGTGGCATATCAGCATGTTAAGAGTACCTTTCTCTAGGAAGCAGAATAATTCTATTAATAACTCATGAAAAACTGTTACGCGATAGTGAACAGAAAGATTGAAAATTGTAGATAAGCATGCTGAATCTATGTAAAACTAATTCATATAAAACTTCTTGAGAGGAATATTACTTTTACATATAATAGAACTAAAAAAAACTGTCTACTTCAACAGCAAATATCAGCTTAGCAAAATATTTTATTGTTTATTTTCGATATAAATGTTTATTTTACTAAAAGAATAATTTTGTTGATAATTAAAATTTTTAATAATTAAATAAATTAAATTATATAAATAAATTATGTAATTAAATAAAGTATATTAATATAAGTCAAATATAAATTTAATATTAATTATTAATTGTATCAGATAAAAAATATGTATAATTATTTAGTACATTGAAATTGACTGATTCTAAAAATTCATATGATAGAATTATCATTAGTTGTTTTTAAAACATCAATGTCACACAATCGTAGAACACGTTTTTATGTCCATTACACGTTTGCATCAGAGACACGATGCTCTTATCAGGTATCACGTGACTGTATGATCCTTGACGTTCCATCACTGGCACGTTTTCTTGTCTCTAGATACATTCAGTTCTTTTCGAATGAATATGATAAAATGCATGCTAGTTAAAAAATATCTACAGAACAGCCATCGCGCATAACTTCCACATTTTCATTAATATAAATACAAACTGCTCATTTTTAACGTTCTTTCTAGTGTTATTTTTTTAGTGTTATCTTTTATTAAAATTTAAAATAAAGTAGGAAATATCTATTATGCTAACCACAAAGAATTTATTCACACGGGATAAAACAAAAATTCATACGAAACTAACAACTTCTTCTTGCATAATGCAAAAATATAGAATTGTGCATGTATTTGAAATATTTTTATTTGAAAAATATTATTTGTGAAACAATTGTATTTTATATTTAATGTTTTATCGGAGCACATAAAAATATTTTGTATTTTGTATTTCAGATTATTAATGAAAAATTGAAAGTATTTTATATTTTGTATTTTAAATACTGAGATTGACAATTAATCTTATTTGAATTACAAAATACAAAAAACTTTCAATCTTTCGATTTTAAATAAAAAGTACATAATATTTTCATGTGCTCCGCTAAAGGACAAAATACAAAATACTCTTGCAACATTGCAAATAATGTGTTTTAAATAAAAGTATTTTAAATACATGCCCAGCCTTAAAAGCATTGCCAAACATTTCTTAAATGATTCTTTCAGCGTACATGCCTACGTCAGAGACATCCTTCACTGTCGAGGAAGAAGACGCGTTTGTGACGTTGGTAGTTGTTGTGTTCGGCATCATCGTTGCCATGGTGGTGCTATTTTCGATGGGTATCTTCATAGATTGCAGACACCAGTACGTTAACAATGATCCTTTTTAAAAAAAATTGCATTTTATTGATTATACAATTTTGACAAATAACAGATATTCCAGTTTATTAGTATTAGTGTGCAACAGAAAACTCTCTTGTTTAGATGGTATAAACTTATCGATAATATATTCACATTACAAAAGAACATTTTATAGAACAAGAGAGAGAGAGAGAGAGAGAGAGAGAGAGAGAGAGAGAGAGAGAGAGAGTGTGTGTGTGTGTGTGTGTGTGTGTGTGAAATTAATTATTAATTATCGTTACAACACATTATTGCAGGGAGAAAGATTCTATGAAAAGAAAAAAACTGAAAATGCTGCCGTTTGCACGAAGAGGTCGGAAAGATGACGTGAAAGCTTTAGCTCCAAATATGTATCCCAATGACGTTACTGGGTCCAAGGAGAGAGATGATGTAGTTTGATATTTGGAAAAATTATTGAAAATTCGTAAGAATTACGATAGATATTTCATAAAGACTTTATAAAAATTTAAGATTTGCGGGTCTAATGATTAGCTTATAGTATTTAATATTAAAATGTGTGGAAGTGTGTTGGAACTCTCTCTTACAAGGAAAGAGAATACAATAAACTCTTCACAGATTTTGGTCCCCTTTAATATGTTAAAATTACATAAAAAATAAATTATGCCGTAGCGTTTTATTGAATAGGCCTTGCAATAATAGTATTTTTAATACTATATAAAAGAATTCTACACTAAGTATAGGTATAACTTATTTTTTATATAAATTTATTATATTATTAATTATCTTCAATATCACACTATACGTTTTGTCAAGGAAATAGCATTGGATATTGTGTAAAAATATTGCATAAAAATGAGTAATTGCAATGAGTTTTTCTCCAATCAAAATGCCAACAAATGTTAAAGAATATAACAACAACAAGTAAAATATCCTTATTAATAAAAAAATATATTATAGCATATATATAACGTAAGAGACAATCAAATATGCTATATCGAGAGTAGTATCAAAGGGTTAAAGTTGCAAGTAATACACTTATCTTCCGTAATAAATAGTATAATTAGATAACTAGTTCAGATAACATATAAATAAAATAGCCACAAAAATTATTTATTGAAAAAATATGGTTTTTAATAAAATAAGATGACGTCAATATCAAGCAATATTCTTTACGCTTCCATTTTGGTTAGAGAGAGAATGTGCAGTTCTTCAAATACAGAATGTATTGGAGAACACGCTTAATATATGCGAATCCTCAATACGTAATATCGCTCATATGTGCCCTTTTCTCGATAAATTCCAATCTTGTTTACAACAAAATAAAACCGTAAATGTATATACTAAATAAAAATTAAAATATCCAAATAAATATAAAAATTTAAATACATATATATATATATAATGTAAAACTTTTATCATTTCTTTCTTGATAGTCTATTTTAAATCGCGAATTTTGGGACATTGTATATGTGTAATAATCTACAGATAGATGATTGCTTAAATTTATGATATTCTGTGTGTGTGTAATCCAGTATGTATAAACTGATAATAATCTACATATACGGAGTGTCCGGAAAATCGCCTGCAATACTTCGAGAGATAATTTGAAACTCAACAAGAAGAAAAAAAAGCTGTATAAACATAAGTTCAAAAGTAAGTCGTTTCTAAGTTATAACCACTTTTATGTTAAAAAAAATTGTAATTTATTTTTCATAATCACAATCTTTTTTTATTTCTGTATTCTTAAATTTTTCTTACTTTACTAGAGGAATGCCAAGTGGAGTATGCCTCCACATGATGCATCCTGAGTAACGCCAAAATAATCCAAAATGTAATTATTTATGTTAAAACACTATGAAATAAATTACAATTGTGATTATGAAAAATAAATTACAATTTTTTTTTAAGTGGTTATCAACTCGGAAACGACTTATTTCCAAACCTATGTTTATATAACTTTTTTCCTTCTTTTTGAGTTTCGAATGATCACTCGAAGTATTGCAGGTGATTTTCCGGACGTCCTGCATAAATACATATATGTAAAATATTACTCTATCATAATTTTTATATCATAATTAAGAACTTTATCTTTTATGAATAATATACATATATATAATATTATACTTACGGAAGCTGCTAAAAACTCGTTATAATTATTTACAGTACTAGATTCATTTATCACAATTATTACTGCTATTGAAGCCGCAAGTAATAATATAGACGCAATGAAATGATAAAGGAGTTCCTAAAAGTTTAAAAGAAATTATCAATTTTTTAAATAAATCATATTAAACAGTTTTCTGTAATTATTCATACTTTCGATGTTTCGAATAAATAATACTACAAACCACTTTTTTTATTTTAAACGAAATTAATAGTTTTAATAATTTTTACAAATTATATACAATTTATAAATTATATAATTTTATTTATGTATACGGAATTACTTACGTAAATTGTTTTAGGTATAATAGATGCAGCAGAAGGAGATATCAGGTTACTGACATACAGAATAAAAGTGTTAATAAAGAAAGTACATGTTGCGACAAAAAAAAATATAAATACTGATGCTCTGTGTAAGATAACAGTTTCGTAACTAATCTCGTTACCAATAATTCCTACGCAAGTCGCACCCAATATCTTAGTATAGAAAATTGAGGAAACTAATTAGATATAACCTTCTCTCTCTCTCTCTATAAATATAATAATAAATAAAGAGAATATA